GTTTCAGATAGCTCAGAGAGACTGTGCCTCAATTAACTCAGTATAAAGGAGGCTGGAAAATTTCTACCGCATTTTCCAAGATACCTCCAATTAGCAGTAAAGATACCTTACTGAAATCTCTGCAATTCTTCCTTCCTTGACCTTGCTCAGTTTTTTTGTTTTTTGTTTTTTTGCTATGAAAGCCTTAGAATAACACGGACCCCGGAGGCACTGTTTTGTTTTTCTCCTTCAGTTTTGCTTTCTCTATAGTCCTGTTTATTGAATTGCAGATATTGATGAGTGCAAGGTCATTCACGATGTTTGTCGGAATGGAGAGTGCATCAATGACAGAGGAACGTACCACTGTAATTGCAAGGAAGGCTATACCACTGATGTAACGGGCACACTTTGTATAGGTACGTTTCCAGCTCAGTTTCACTGATTCCTTCCCTCAGAATGCAGGCACTGGGCACCCTTTGGACAAAGCTAGAGAGAATTCTTCATTCAGTCATTGGGGAAGATCTCATGGTGTCCACTATAATGACCTTTGGTATCAGATTAACTTATTTATTTATTTCTTAATTATTTAATATAGGTGCCAATCTCAAATATATGAATCTGGGCAGTTATTTTCAAGTCTTCATCATTAGAATTTTTAAACATCTGCCCGTTTTTTGAAAAAAAGTCAATTTTAATTCTTCAGCTGTACCTTTAGAACCTTGCTGTTTTATTTTGTAAACTGTAATGGAGGTTTTTTTTTTTTAAATAAAAAGCCCAATTACCCATTGTTATTCATCCCTCCTTTTTAATTCATCTCAGTGAAAAATGTTGGTTTCTTTGACTTCAGATCTGAATGAGTGCAACCTGTCTCCAAAGCCTTGCAATTTTATTTGCAAAAATACCGAGGGTAGCTATCAATGCTCTTGTCCGAAAGGATACATTTTGCAGGAAGATGAGAGAAGCTGCAAAGGTAAAAGTGACTGATCTTTGGAATATGTATAGCCAACCATTAATTTTCCTTCAGGGCTAATTTGAAAAGGAAGTAAGGGAATAGGCCACTCTTTCCTCGAATAGTTTGAAAGCTAGTAAGTACAGATAGCCCTTGTTTAGCGACTTCCTCATTTAGCAATGGTTTGCAGTTGCGACGGTGATGAAAAAGTAACTTTGTGACCAGTCCTCACATTTACGGCCTTTGCAGGTCTGTAAAGCAATGGAAAGCTGAAGTCAGATCGTAAGCACGGTTGCAGTTTCACTTAGTGACTGCTTCGCTTAACAATCGAGTTGTCAATCCCAATTGTGGTAGCTAACAAGGACTACCTGTAAAAGAAAAACAGAATATCTGAAAGAACCAATTTGTCCAAGGAATTACCAGATCCTGACCTTTTGTATCCATGAATGATGAGATCTATGAAAGGTTGTGAATGTATGAAGGGACATGAAGGAATGGGTTCTGGACACACTCGGTATTAGTATGTAGGTCTTGACATGCTCCCTGGAACCAATGTGGCCTTGGTAACAGAAATCCCCCTTTTGGTATCAATCAGAGGGCTATCCAAGCATAGACAGAACACTGTGGTTCCATCATGGATTAAACTTTGCTTCACATTATCTTCTTAGTGTATATTCAATGTGAAGTCTGAATCCATCTGTAACTAATCAAGTCCAGTGATCTGAAAACAACAGTTATGTGACTTCTGAAAGACTAGAATATTTATTATAGCACTTCATCTAATCCATAAAACTTTGTGTCACAATAAATTTAATCACTAAAAAACTGCATGAGAACGCACGTTGCATTTGCTTCAATGTGGCGTGGCGATCCCTTCAGAAATTTCAGCTTGTTATCCTTGTTGATATGCTAGTTGTAAACTGTAGTAGAGTTCTTTTTGGAGTCAACAAGTGGTATAAAATGCTTTATAAGTAAATAAGACTGGAAGAGTCATGAGAATTGTAATCCAACCCACCGGCAGGTAGAAGATTTGTAGGAAGGAAGATTCCCCTACAAATAACCATGCAACACTTCTTGATATAATGTATGTTGCAATTGTACAGATAATTGCAATATATTATAATGTTGTTTTTATAAGGAGCAAAACCTGAACAAATGTATATGCTATCTTTTTAGATCTTGATGAATGTGCAACCAAACAACACAACTGCCAGTTCCTTTGTGTCAACACTATTGGAGGCTTTACTTGTAAATGTCCTCCTGGTTTTACTCAACATCATTCAGCATGTATTGGTGAGTGGCAAGAAATAAGGAGATGCTCATATGTGTTTGATGTTCCTTCCTTGCAGTCAAGCTAGAAACAGTTAATCCAAAGGAACAAGAACCTAAGAACTCATCATAAGAAATATGATTAATCAATCATATTTATTGGAAGGTTAAGGTTACAACACAAGGATTCCAGACAATAGTCTACTTTCAAATGATAAACCTACACACACACACACACACACACACACACACACATTAGGGCAGTGAAACTATTATCTGTTTCTTCCTGCTTTTCTGATGGTGGGGGAGGTGGGAGAAGAGGCCTGCCTCTTTTGTGAAGACCCACATTCACAATGTTGATTGTTTTGGTATCTGGTTGTCTTTTTATCTGTGCAAATGAAAATGCTATAGACTTGCATAGTTTCTAGTATTACTACACTATACTTACTATACTTAGTCTTAACATCTTCGGAATGAATGTTTGGAAAAGGCACAGATCAATACTTGTTTATTGTATCTCTTTTAAATTGAATAGACCAGTTTTCCTTTTCCGTTTAGCCATGCATGTTCTCTCTGTATAATTAGAATTCTCTGAATGCCAGTTCCTGTGCAAAACAACACACAAAGCAACAAATCACTTTTTGTTTTCCCCCACCTCTTCTTTGAATATGAAAGAGTGGTTTTTTAAATTAGGATCAGTCCTTTTATGGAGCCTTTCACTATAGAGACTCTCCTGTAGCCATCTTCAAGATGTACACAAAAAAAGAATAGATCAGCTAATGTCCATCTGTATTCCTTTTAGATAACAATGAATGTGCCACTGACATCAATCTTTGTGGATCAAAGGGTATTTGTCAAAATACTCCTGGAAGCTTCACGTGTGAATGTCAGCGTGGTTTTGCACTTGACCAGACAGGTGCCACCTGTGAAGGTACATCTCTTGAGAACCCACACGACCTTCTGCTCTTTTACCTTTTCCTGTGTATTAATTAACGCATGTAAAGTAAATAGGTAGTGGATCTAATCTCTCTATCTGATTTCCTCTCTCGGTACTAGCCTGCATTCTTTTTCTGTTTAACATTTCATTTATTCCTTGCAACTTTAAGCCAACCACAGCCCAACCTTTTGATTATTAAATCAGTTTTATCTTTAATGGCAATCATATTTCAGTTCGAATTAGAAGAATGCAAATCTCAGGAATGGAGCATGTGGTTTTTATGTTAGTTGGCTATATGGTTCAGCCTTTGGCACCTCCAAATTAAAAGGTAATTTAGGTGGTAATGCTGGGAACATTTCTGTGACTAAACCATTCACTTGATTCAGAATAAAATTACTGCAAATATTTACGTTGGATAACTTCCATGCATTACACCCGGTTTTCAAAAAGCAGACAACTTCTCACATATATAACCATGTGGGCATGCCCTGGGGGGGAGCAAATGAAAAAATTATTTCACAATGTAAACTCTATCCCTTTTCTACCTGTGTTGTGACATCACACACAGGTACATAAGAGATGGAGTTTGCCTCATGATGTCATGGTGCCTGTTTCATCATTTTGACAGAACTTCCAGGTTCAGCAGATGCCTTTATATAACCACTACCTAAGGTCACCGCTCAGCAGGTGTATAAGGTGCAGAATTGTGGTTGACAAGTCTGCTCAAATATATTTCCCATTCCAGTGAAGCATTTGCCCCTCTTTTACCATGCAGAAACAACCCAAAAAATTCTTTTGTTTGTCTCTCTATGTGAGAAATAGCTTTCCACTACCGAGGTCAATAGGGTGCCCAGGAGAAAGCGTTTGAGTAACAAAGTCAATAACTTACCCTCCTTATTTTTCTGATAGTTGTCTATCATCTCTCTCTAAGCAATCTCTGGATAGAGCTTTCACGTTTTTCTCAGAACGGATCTGCTTTCCTTATAAATACTTTTTTTATTAATGACCGTAAGGCACCTATTCAAGAGTCTCTGTGGGAAAAATGTAAGTGTATCGTTGCGAGTTAACTCTGGTGGGGCGTTACATCTGTGTGGACGTGGAATTGGTATCTGATGACATGACAGATGTTTGCAGCAAAATAATCCAAACGTTTCAATCTGTGCTTTCTTATTATAGATGTTGATGAGTGTGATGGAAATCATCGGTGCCAGCATGGCTGCCAGAATATAATTGGAGGATACAGGTGTAGCTGTCCACAAGGGTATCTCCAACATTATCAGTGGAACCAGTGTGTTGGCAAGTCTCATTTTTAATGTCTGAGGAAGCAAGACCATTATTGACTTTGCAATTACATTTTGGCTTTGTTGATTGTTGTTGGAGGCTCAGTTTAGTGGATTCAAAGTAATTTCCTGTACAAAGTTTTGTAAACCACATTAGTTTGTCAAGGAAGTCCTTTTGTCTAGCTGTAACTGTAACGGACAAGGTCTTTAGAAAAATCTCAGTAAAACACTGCTTAATTACATTCACTCCCTTAGGAGACTAATATCTCAGCCTTCCCCAAATTGCTAGCATCCCCCAAATATGTTAGATTACAAATCCCATCATCCTAGCTTGCATCCCATTGAAAATTTATCTGAATTTGAAACTTTGTCATCCAGGGAAGATAATGATACTTTTTAGCCATCTCAGTGTTGAATTACATCTTGTAGATTTGAGGTATTGTAAAGTAGGCAATAGCTTACTGTCTGCTGTGCGTGTAGTGCTCACCAAAGTAGGGCCATGGTGGTTATCTAATTCAGATGTGCTGTACATTCCAGCTGAAATGTACAAATACCCTTTTCAGTACACTCCCACTGAAATATAACTGAATCAAACATCCTTACCTTGACCAATTTCCCATTCAATGAGTTTGTTTATTGTGCTAGATATATCCATCGATGTTGTCTTTAAATTTTGGTTGCTTTTATCTCCTCCTGACTTTCAGTGGACCTTAAACTGATGTTATGTAAATACAAGTAAACCAGTCAAAAATCAGTAGGCATATTAATATCTGCCAGAGTCAGAATCCTTAAACCAGCTTCCTGATGGCAGCTCTGTGATATGGCTTATCAAATTTGGGTAGCCACACATCTTATGCAGCATAACCCTGACTGGCTCACAAACAATAGTAAAAACAGTAAATGTAGTAAAAAACATAAAAGTCTACAAAGAACCTCCTGGCACTCCCAAATGTAATACATGCCTACTCATCCAAAAGGAAATGTAGAACTTCACTGGGCTCCAGCCTCACACTACCCCAAGGCTTATGGGAAAAGCCAGGTCTTCGTGGCTTTTCAGAAGGCCAGGAGGGTAGCGGCATGCTGGATCCTGGGGGGAAGGGGCCACTACCAAGAAGATGCGCTGCCTAGGACCTGCTAGATGGTATCCTTTAAGGGAAGGGACCTGGAGGGTGCCTTCCCTGTCAGACCTAGTGGAATGGGCAGATACCCTCCAGGTGAGGTGGTCCCCACAAGTAACCTGGCCCTGTGCCATGTAGGCCTTTAAAAGTGCTAACCAGCTCCTTGAATCGCACGTTCTATTTCTTGTCCAAAATTTAGTGCTGATCAGGGTTTCTGCCATTAGCCAATATGACTACTAATTAGAGAAAGTTGTTTTTTTTAATTCAAGAGCAGAACCAAAAATAATTCTCCTGATGTGCTTTTAGAGGCCTGCAAAATGACTTGAATTTTATTACTGCAACACAACCTGAATATTCTAATATCAATTTTAATTAGGAAACTCATTTTAGGGTTATTTCCAGTATTTAATTTAATTGGTTAATTCAAACTGCAGTTCTATCCTGGAAATACATATGGTGACCCAAAATGTGAGAATCGACCATTATTTGGCATGGTTTACTTTCAAAAGCATTAAAAAAACCCGCCTTTCCTTGTTATTGTTGCTCAGCTCTAAGGGAGGTCTCTGGTTTTAATTAGGGTTAAGAAAACTTGCTGACACTTTTACACAGTTGCCTGTTGGGAAACTAGACTTTTCAGTACGGAAAGGGAATTGAAAAGTTATTCAAACATGGTTTTCTTTCTTTTTCTTTTCGTAAGATTGGCACATACAGCTTAAATTAAGTTTTTAATGGGCTCTTTTCAAGTTTTGCTGAGTTTCATCATTATTGGAATCCAATAATTGTTCTGGTTTTGAACCTGGTGGTGGATAAAGGAGCTCCCGCATTGAAATGGGTGCAGCCTGGTTGACATTGGCCGATCTCAAAAAGTTAAGCAGGGCTGGTAGAAAAATGTTCAAGAAATTCCAGAATTGTAGACTAAACTAGGAAACTGGAAAAGCCTTCTGGAAGAACACAGTGGCAAACTACATCTATACTGTTGCCTGGAGCACAATATGGGGCATTATTATATAAATAATATGTAAAGTTGTGTTATATATTAAGTTCAGGAGGCAAGCTGAACTTTTTCCTTAGTGCCATTTTATATACTTAAAAAAAATCTCCCTCTTTTCAGTATTATCTCATTTCTGCCTTGGCACACAATTCCTTCCCCTCTCAACAAGTATCATATGCTGAAGTCAAATTCAAGTTGCATTAAATACAGAGGAAAGAAAAATGAATCCAGCTGTGATTTTCTCTGTTCTTGTTACTACTTCACTCTTCTGACCTAGAATTTTACAGCCATAAATAAGCTAATCAGTCCCCAGATCAAATCTCAGTTCTGCCACAAGTTAATTAATTAGCCCTAGGCAAGACTATAATCTCTCAGCCTCTTCTTTCCATCAATAACTTACGGGTAATACTTTATTTTAAAACCCCTTTTATTAAGTTATCTTCATCCGCTTGACAGACCTTCTTATAATGTAGATTGACAGAACAAAATTGCTAAAACAAGGAGATTTCTAACAAAGCATAACAAAATGGTAAAATAACAATATAGATGTAACATGCAGAATTATTAAAGATAAGTAATCAAATGACTCAAAGTTTGTGAATCGAACTCATAAGTAACCAAATGTCACTTCTTTTTAATTGTCCAGTTTGAATGTTGTAAACTGGCTTGTGTACTGTAACAAAGGGAAAAATCATAGTTTATGTCACAAAATAAATCAGTTTATTAAGTAATTCTAGTGGGCTATTTTATTTCACAGTCCAGTAGAATTGCCTCATGTGTAAAGTACTAGGATCATTGAATTATATGTCACATAAACATTTTAAAGTATAAATCTTGTTTAGTTAAAAGGAAGAATTTTCAAATGCTTTAACGTAAGGCAGTTTCTGAAATAAATAATTTTATATAGTTTGCACCAAGCTTCCTCAAACTCAGCACCATCCAGTTATGTGACGTAAGGTTGGAGAATTCTTCAGGCAACTTGGCCATTTCTGAGAATTTTCAGAGCTGAAGTCCACACATCTGGAAGATGTATGAGTAATAATACTGAATCCAGTATTATATGCATTGTTCTGTAAAGTATTGGCTATATTCATTTAAGACAAGTTTTTAATTAGCCTTATTAGATACACAATGAACATAACTTTTACAAATCATTGTACAAATTAGCTGCCCATTTATCTTGATTTAGCTGTATATGACTGTTTAACTATGTGTTGAAAACTAAAGGCATTCAGTAATTTTGGAATTATTACAAATATTTGTGTGCACCCCATGAATTGGACAAGAATTAGAATGACAAACTGTAATCCAGGCATACATTAAGGGACAGTAATTATTTAGTTAGAGAGCCAGTTTGGTGTAGTGGTGAAGGCACCAGGCTAGAAACTGGGAGACTGTGAGTTCTAGTCCCACCTTAGGCACAAAGCCAACTGGGTGACCTTGGGCCAGTCACTCTCTCTCAGCCCTAGGAAGGAAGCAGTCATGAAACACTTCTGAAATCTTGCCAAGAAAACTGTAGGAACTTGTCCAGGCAGTTGCCAGGAGTCAACACTGATTCGAAGACACCCCCCTGCAAAAAAAAAAAAAAAGTTAGCTGAAGTGGGCAGGATTTTTATTAGATAAGTGAGATGGTGATGAGTAAGTTTCTCAAGAGATTATCAGTGTGATGATCAAATCTGCTTTGCTTCTATTCCAGATGAAAATGAATGCCTCAGTGCTCATGTTTGTGGTGGAGCATCTTGCCACAACACTTTGGGAAGTTACAAATGCATGTGCCCTACTGGATATCAGTTTGAACAGTTTAGTGGGGCATGCCAAGATGTGAATGAGTGTGGGTCCTCTCAAGCTCCATGCAGCTATGGGTGCTCAAATACAGAAGGTGGCTATGTCTGTGGATGCCCACCAGGGTACTTCCGAATAGGGCAAGGGTAAGAAGATTCTTACTTTTGTATGTACAATCTCTAAACTCAGAGGCAAAAAATAGCCTCCAAGTTTGTTCAGGTGAATACAGACCAAACTATGTAGTGGGAAACTGAATCAACAAGGAAATGCACAACTATGAGCTCCAGTTCTTGAGTAAAAGCTGGATTGAAATAGGAGACATAAAGAATTTATATAGTATAGATTGGTCTGTTCGTTCATGTGCATTTGACCTTTAATCTTCTATCAGTTGATTATATAGTACCTGCGAATTAAAAGATATTCAAGTTCAGAAATAAAATGGCTTTCTCATACATCAGGTTTCCATTAAACTGTTATAGATGCCAAGTACAAGATACATGTGCATTCCATCTTTTCACTAAGATTTAGTGTGGCATATAGCACGCATGAAGCATGTATCTCATGTTTAAACTATAGAAATAGCTTTCTAATTCCTCCAGCATGTGACCCTAAGCATTCTCACTGTCTTTTTCTTAGAGTAATTTCTAGTCCTGCGGAAGCTATGCAATGTGGGATAAACAATTGTTAGGAATATCTATTGGTTTTCTTCAAATATGGAATTTGACTAGAATGTAAAAAATATTACATTTATTACTTGCTTGGCTTATTTCTTTAGTGGGCATTATTCATTCTGTATGATTCTTCAGTTTTCTTTCTTGTCCAAGGGAATTTGTAACAATAAGGCCCAATTATATGCCAAGAGTCTATATTTGATGATGGGGATGGGGTATGTATAAACTTGATAAATAAATTTTTAAAAAATCAGAGGTTCCCTGGTAAAACCTTAACACTAAATGTTGTAACTTCCAGATGGTTAATATATATAAAAAAATAATCGTACTTCAAATCATTGCTCAAAATAAACTGACGTACCTTCTGTTAGTTCCAAGATTTACCAATCCCCCTCAGGAAAAAACCCTATGTAGAATATCTGTTCAAATGTCAAATTCAGTGGTACCTCGGGTTACGAACGCCTCTGCTTACGAACTTTTCGGGTTACGACCAGCACGGGCGCAAAAATTTACTGCTG